GAAGTTGGAAAGAGTAATCAAGACATCAATAGCAACCAAAGGCACCAATGTTTAAAGTTGTTGTATAGAACAATCAATAACAGAAGAGGTCAAAAGAGACTGGGAGATTCACACGGTAAAGAGGAAGGAAACTCTAGAAGTCCCCATTTTCTTTTATCATTGTATCCCAAGTCATTTTGTCAAACTTAGAAGTACCCATGCTTCTTAGCTCCTAACTCATGCAAGGTGAAGTACCAAGATGTATGAGGAAGCCGATAGTTTCAACTTTTGCTAGGATTGCTTCTGTTTTTTGCTAACCCATGGACAAAGTATCAAGATGTATGTCATGACTCAAATCATTAGAAATTTGAAGATGGCAGTTGATTACATCCTTATTTAACTAATTACAATTTATAATTAAAATGAATAAACATTTATTTCAAAAACTGCCTATGCATTTTTTTTATTGAAGTAGCTATATAAGAGTGCAAATCCAAGAAACAAACAAGCAAGAAGAAATAAAAATAAAAGAGCAGCATATAAATGTTAATAAAATAAAATAAATGGAAGCTAATTACCCCAAAGACCACCCTTCTCATGGGACCATTGTATTTGACTTGGACGTTGACCATTGCTGATAAGGCAACAATGCAGGAAACATCCACAGCAAGTACTTCACCCACATCGAGATTTTTCTGTGCAACTAGCCGAATGGAAAAGAAAATGTCACATGGACATCCCATGATTATTGCCTTGAAGGGTTGGATTAAAACGTGATTCAAACTTTCCTTTCTTTTTGTTAAAGTTCAGAGATGATTCAAACTACTGAGTCAGATTCATGTTATAACTCAAAATAAAAGTTCCGTATAAAAAAGAACTTAAACCAAAGTTGAAGTTAATGCAAAGCATCAGCATGAAAATGCCAAATTTGAAGTAAAATATAATTTGTCCTTGTGGTAGGTCTACAGTCTATGAAATGCCTCAAAGAATAAGAAGAAACAAAGAAACAGAACGGAAAAAAGCGAGAAATAAAGAAAGAAAGAAAGAAAGAAATTACTATGCCAAGCACCAGTCAAAACCAACTGTTTGGTTGGTCTGGAGTTGCATTTAGACTAATGAAGGATTTATGCTTCCTGAAAAACTTACACAACTTAATAGGTAGTGACTAAATTAAAAAAAGAACCTTACCACATCCACCAGCAACTATGAATGCAAGTCCCTGACCAGATAGTTTCTGTCTCAAGAATCCCTATAAACAGCATAAGCATGTATGTCAACTGGATGATCACAGTGAAACCAAATATGCATAATCATCAAGATTCAAGACTCAGAAATTAAGCAAAAAGGACAAAGTTTCAAAGTAGTCATCTCACCTCTGCACCGGCAACAATGTTACGTGCCCTGAGATCTACTGTATTAGTGACTTTCACATCGTTGATGGAGCAAAGGAATGCATCTGGCTATAAAATAATATTATCAGTCAGATACGAATTTAAAGGACTGAGATTTAAGAGAAATGCATGAAGAAATCTCAACAGAATTGAGATAAAGCATTGACAGAAAAGAAAAATATCCCAAGCGGCAACAGTAACACGGGGAAAGAGAATTTCAAATAATTTCTTAACATAACAAGAGAAAAATAGATAATAAATTAGCTGTACCTGGCACAATAGTTCACCACCAAACATTGCTAAATCAATCTACAAAATAAATTTTGATAAGTAAAAATAAGATAATTCAAATTAAATAACATAAAAAGAAACCAGTTTGTGACATCTGAGATGAACTCACAGTCATGATCAAATGCCAAGAGTTAGAACCAAAAAAAAAAAAAACTAATAACCTAAAATTTGACATGATACAAACCGGGAGAATTCTGGCTAAAGAAGGAGCAGCAATTCCGACAAATCCATCACTTGAACCGGTATTGAGAAGAACTATGCTAGTCATACTCTTGCCAAATGGCCATTGCCACATACCTGCTTCATTTTCGGGGTTGTAAACATTCTCCATTTGTATGGACCCAGACATGTAACACATGGAACCTACAGGCCAATCAAATTCCACACACATTGCAGTGGAAAAAATAAATAAAAAATGGTTTAGAATGTAAAAAAAGAGGATGCACCGAAATCAGTATCAGGTAGCTTTAAAATAGCAGACATAATATATTCCACTACCAGCAACCTCTGGTAAGAATTTATTGATCCTTGGAAAGCTCCCCAAGTGTCAACCTATAGACTAACTAGTATATCATTCCTAACTCAGCCAATTCCTGCTTACCAAATATAGCCTAGAGTATTGATCACCAACTCAATCAATGTCCTTCCCATCCAACGTAAAGAAACTACCACACGCACGCTCCAACTTCCAAGTCTCACACCCTGAGACCTGAGGTCAACCAGGTCCCAAGACTGGATTGTTGATGGCCATGGAAGTAAGTGCAATAAGTAATCTGCTGCCCATCTTCTGCCCAAAGCAGAAATGCAGGCATTTTTCACCATAACATCCCCAAGTGTCACACTCCTCTTTTTGGAAAGAAGCATCACCATGATTACAGATAAAAATTTTAACTACGCCACTCCCACGACAATGAAAACTTACACCACATGTAAGCATTACTAGAATCAATGAGTAGAAGAGAACTCTATTCCTCAAGGCATTCAGACAAACCAACAATAATATTGAATATGGAATATGATCACATGGGCTTGTTATTTCCCAACACATAAGAAACATAATTTGAATATTGTCATATAGATGTGAACTAAAAAACAAAAAGGATCTAGGACTTGAAACCCAAAATTGATTCTCCTTCAGATACAACACAATCAATTTTTCATTTAATGGGTAAAGTATCTAGTAGTGGCTCCAAGGAGGGAGCAGCCATGTACACATCAATAAAAAAATCACATTAACCCATATGTAAAAACCCCATGTCAAATCAACTTACCAGGCTTTGCAATAACTTTTTCTTGTGGCTTCAACATAATCTGGCAATGAGATCAACACCACCAAAATACAATAAATAAGAAATATAAACAAACAAAAGCAAGAGTTTTTGCTTTGATTTTAAAAGAGGCGGAAGGGGGGTTTAGCAAGTACTATTAATACCTGAACTATCTGAGCTTCTCCACCCAAAATCTGGAAAGGTATCATAGCTTCTTGTGGACTCTACAATACATTATCACAGTGAGATAACCCACACTACAGAATTTTTTGTTTTGATAAATAACGCGGGAAGCAAGGATTAGTGCAGACTATTTAAAAAGAAAAATTCAAAATTTGAGATGGAAGACAAGAAAATGTGCTCCTCTCCAATTATACTCCATAAGGTGGAAATAGAAACAACCAAAAGAGAAAAAGGCTTAAAGCCTGGAGCAACAGCCAGTCTCCACCTTTCCACAAACGACAAGCCTAGGCAAATTTGGACATAATTTGTTCTTTTTCCAAGTATTTTACAAATAATAAAAGGAAAGAACATAAAGAACGCCACACAAAAAGAGTAGCCTATTAAGTTTAGTAACCCAAATTCTGTGCACCCACAAGGTCACCCAACTCAACAAGTTGAAGAGAAGGAGTTATTAGGACAAGTGAGGGAAACACATTTCTACAATTTAAGTCGCCAAATTGGATTTGGGATTTTTGGGTTTGATGATATAAGAAGGTGAATGGATTTTGCAATTGAAATTTGGGAAGATAGGAACAACGGTTTGGTCACTGTTTAGGGCTGCAAACAGTGAAAAAACAGTATTTTAAGTGAAAAATAGCTACCTCGGTGTAACTATGAAATTAAATGTTACTCTTTTTTCTCTATTCCATTATTTGAACATCTTTTAACCTTAATAAACTTCCTGCCCCTCCATTTTCTACTCTCCTCTAAAAAAAAATTAAAAAAAAAATCTACAAAGAACTACACCAATCAATTTACCAATTTTATACCCAATTCAGTAAATAAAATAACTAATTAAGCTCCATTCAAAGAAAACAAGGCATGATGATTCTGTATTTGACAGTTTCAAGTACCAATGACGAGTATTTTTTAAACAAAAATGCTAGAGGCCCCAAAAATTATACCAAAAGTTTTACCAAATATCTGGGTGTGGGACCCACATGGACCCACCACACCCATGTGAGACATTTGGTAAAACTTTTGGTAGAATATTTGAGATCTCTATCATTACTCTTTTTGAAATGCCTGCCTGCCACTGTCATTTGAACACCTGCAAGTTTATCAGCATCTACTACAATTAAGTTCACCCACAAACCTAAACTCACTCATAACTTCATCAAACATATAACAATTCAATGCCATCTCCATCAAATCACTTGATTGGGAGCTTTTGCTCTCTCCCGTCCAACAAATATAACAAAAACTAGCACTCAAACTCTAATTTTCCAGGCGAGGCCCTTGTGGCCCAGTGACACGTAGCCGCGGTGCGATGAGTGAAAGGTCTGGGTTCAAGCTGATGGATCAGCAACACAGGCTTTAAGTTGTAATCAACCTTTAACATACTAACGTTTATCTCTTCAAAAAAATCTACTTTTCCAACTAACTTTTTTTTTTTTGGTTCTTTTTCTGAGAAACCAAGTATATATACAAACACACACACATATATGTGCATCACAACTGATCAACAATAAAATGTGAGTGAAAACCCTAACTCTGGCTATAAAATTTGGGTTTTTAAGAGGGAGAGAGTACCTGATAAACATAAGGTTGGAAAGGAGTTGAGAAGAAAGGAGCGGCCATGGCGGAGAGACAGACAAGTGTCGATCGGAACTAAAATCGAAGAGCAGTAAGATCAAGAAGCCATCGTAGATTTTTAGATCGTAGTACGCAACGCACCAAATCCAAATTGAAAAATAAAATATATATATATATATAATTTTTCCAAAGATTTTTGGTTTTATTCATTGGTTTTTTATTTTGGATAAATTAATCGTAGATCTTAATGATCTAAAAAAGTTAAAAAGTTATTATCCTATTTAAATCACATCATTTTATTTAAATCACATCAGCTCTCTAACACATCACTTCAAACTCAACTTATACCCAACCTATATTTCATAAAAAGTCAAAGAATGTATTTATTTAAACCATTCCAAACTAATCCTTAATTTCTATCCAATTTTATTAAAAATAAGTTTTAATAAAAGGAAATTTATTAGAATTTTTTTTTCAAGTATTTGTTTCTTAATTAATTTATAAGATATTCTTATTTTTTAATAAATCCTATTATTTGAATATTTGTTCTATCAAATCATAATTCTCATATTTACGGTATTTTATAGATATTTCTATCATTACAAATATTTTTTTAATGATTAGCACTTTAGTGATGTGAACATTCATATTTTACAATATGAATTTTCACATTGACAATATAAATATTCACATTGATATGTTAACATTCACATTGATGGTGTGAACATTCACATCACGAAACATTCGCACTGTAAATGTGAATATTATTAGGGGTATTTTGATAATTATTTCACCTATAGAACTTATTAAAATATATGAAAATAATGTGAACTAAATGAAATATAAGTAGATGAAAATGAATTTATGAAAAAGTGTCCCATTAATAAAATTATTGCTAAAATGTAAGCTTTTTATGACATTTTTTGAATATGTTGTTAAAAATTGATAATTAATAATTTTTTTATCACAATTTTTATAGATTATCGCTAAAATTTATAATTAGTGATATTTATTTGTGATTAATTTTTTAAATGGTCACTGAAAGTTAAAAATTAATGACATTTTTTACGACGATTTTTTTAAACTGTCGCTAAAACTTATAATTAGTAATATTTTTTGTAATAAACTTTTTAAATTGTGTTTAAAAATTAACAATTAGTAACATTTTTTAATAGTATTTGATGAAAAATTTTACTAATTCTCACCAAACATATTGGACAATAAGTATCCTTGTTAGAATCCGGGTGTGTGCCGGAAACCTCTCCGATGCCTAAGTCAGTAAGCTTGACAAATAGACAAAGTTTTGTGTTCTTAGAAAGAATTGTGTTCAATTACCTCTTCCAAGGTGATGCTTGTGAGCTTTTATAGGTTTCGAGTGGCATAATCCTAGTAGGACTTTTATTTCTCCATGCAGAGTCCTCCTAGGATTCATACTCCTAAGGATAATGCTTATCCTTTTACACCCTCCCCCACTGCTTAAACCAAGTGGGATGGTTTTTACTCTGGCCGAACTACTATATGACCGAAATAAGCTTGGCTATGCAGAGCCACCGAGTAAACCGAACTCATCCTTAGCTCGGTTCCTGTGTTTTCCCTTTCTTATCTTAGCTTTCCATGTAGAACCCATGGTACGGTCTTAGACCGAACCAACGACTTTCGGCCGGTCTAACCTCGAGCTCCCAAGCTTTATCCTATAAAAATACCCTTGTTAACTTGTTGATTTCCTTCAAAGTCTATGCTTTATTTGCCGCTGGGCAGCTTGTGAAGGCCACTTTGTGGACTAAACGGTGTTATTGGGCTTGTAGGGTCCATCATAGATCGTATTTCGATAATTTGAACTGTTTAATGTGTAGAGTTTAGTATTTTATCTTTGTAAACAATCACATTGATCAGATATTGATATCTATTTGATCGAATTAGATTTTTGTCAACAATTTATTTTAAAAATTATATTTACAGTTGACAAAAATCTGATTTGATCAAGTTGTTATCGATATCCGATAAATGTGATTATTTAGAAGAATAAAGTACTCTACGAGTTCTACACATTAAATAGTTTGTATTATCGAAATAAGACTCGTGATAAACCCCACGGGCCCAACAGCACGCTCCAGTCAAATCTTAGACTGGAGAGAAGCTTGGCCCTTTATAGAATTACTCTCGCAAAATTTTTAAATTATCGCTGAAAATTAATAATTAGTAACGTTTTTAATAGTATTTAATAAAAAAATGCCATTAATTATCATGGGACTTATTGAACAATAAATTCACCTATTAATAACTATACGTAAGTCCCTTTTATTTTATATAACTAAATTAAAGGATAAATTATCAATAGATTTTACTTTCAAGATTTATTACCTATTATTTATTGATAAATTTATTAATCTCTCTAGTTCTTGTGAATAAATTTATAGTAATAAATTTAGAAACTTTTATTGATAAATCTTATTTAGAAGTGTTTTAACCTAAGAAGTCCATGAAATTTTTTTTTTAACTCACTTAGTCCCATATATTTATAGTTTTATTTCATAAAGTCTCTTTTTGTTTATTTATTTACACTGTTTTGTTAGACTATTATGCCCTTATATTTAATATTTATATTTAATGTTGGGGAAGGAGAGAGAAGGGAAATGACCAAGGTATAGGAAATTTCATAGACAAATTAAATAACATTGATATTATTATTTTATATTATTATATAAAGAAAATGTTATAGACCCCAAATGAATTACCAAATATTCTATCAAACCTCTCACGTGGATGTTGGACCCACACACATGTGATTTGTATGAGTCCCAAGTCTATGTGAGAGGTTTGGTAGAATATTTGGTAATTCATTTGAGATCTCTAGCATAACTTATTATATAATGTGAATATATTTTGAATTGACAACACATTAAAAATAATGTGAACATTCTCTCTCATCTGATGTGTAAATGTATTTTTAATTGACAATACATTAAAAATAAGGGAAAAATACACTAATAGTCTCTATAGTTTGGGGCTTGTGTCACTTTAGTCCATGATTTTTTAATTGTGACACATTTGACCCTGAATTTTGAATCTTATTCCAAATAAGGACAATTGAACATACAATTGCTTAATTTCAAGGGCAAAATCATCAACTTGATAAAATATAAACTAATTTGACAAAAATAAATGTCAAAAAAATATTTTAAAAATTATTTCTACCTACCAAAAATAAAATTATGTAAAATTGATAAAAATTACATGATTAATTTTTAAAAATTAATTTTACATGATTATCATCCAAGTACATAATAAAAAATAATTTGGTAAAAAAAAATGTCTAAAAGATTTATCAATTTCATATAATTTTATCTTTAGTAGCTAGAAATAATTTTTAAAAATTCAAAAGTATTTTTTTAACATTTATTTTTGTCAAATTAATTTATATTTTATCAAATTGACGATTTTGTCCTAAAAATCCAATAGTATCTACAATTGTCCTTATTTGGAACAAAATTTAAAATTCAATGTCAAATGTGTCACAATTGAAAAGCCAGGGACCAAAATGACATAAGCCCTAAACTATATGGACCATTAGCGTAATTCACCCTAAAAATAATATGAACATTATCTCTCATCTGATGTAAACGTTTACAACACTTTTCAAAAAATTATCTCTCATCTAATGTAATGATATGAAAGTTCACAATATGTGAACATTCTTATTTTTAATTGACAACATATTAAAAATAACGTTCATTATATTTTTAATTGACAGAACATTCTTATTCACAACATGTAGTGATGTGAACGTTCATATTCGTATGTTTTAGTATGAATATTCACATTATGTAATTGACAATACAATGACAAAACTTCATTTCAAGTTAAGGCTTGTGATTGTGTAATTTGATGCAATGTTGATGTGAACCTGAACATCACCTTTATCACAACGTCATCTGATGTGAACATTCACATTCACGTCATCTGATGTAAATATTTACATTCACGTCATCAATAAAGAACCATGTTTAATTTTTTGTGCGCAATATATATCAACATTAAATAGTGGTGTGTAATTAATGCATTTTTTTGGAATGAAGATATAATGGCAATCAACATTAATGGGGCCAAGAGAGATTTAGGATGTTTTGGTCTTCTTACTTCAAATAAGACCTAATAGAATAATTAAAAAGAACATGAGTTGAATGGAATAAACTCTTAAAAATGAGACTTATTAATAAAGCTCCCATAAATTTATCAATCTAATTTATAAAATTGATTGGTAAGTACCCTTAAATTATATCAAATCAGGTATTCTAGAGTAAATTCTGGAACATTTTTTTTTTTTGGGCTGCAAATCTGGAAAAAAATTGATGAGAAGAAGAAAAAGAAAAAAAAGTAGCAAAGAGTTGGAGAAGCCATAGTTGGTAAAAATGAAATCTATTTAGCCCTCGTTTGATTTTTCATTGGAGCTAAAAAAAAGTACAAAAAGACAAAATAGGCTATATAAGTCAATAAGACAAACGGTTCCGATTGGTAGCTCGAATAACACGGCTCGAAATCTGGCTCGACACCAAAACGACGTCGTTTTGGTGTCGAGTTTTTTTTTTTTTTTTTTTTTTTTTTTTTTTTTTCCCTGTTTTTTTTTTACAAAAGGAAGAAGAAGAAGAAGGGTGGAGAAGAAGAGAAGGAGAAGAGAAGGAAGGAGGAGGAGGAGGAAGGAGGAAGGGGAGGGGCTCGGCCGACGGTAGTGGTGCTGCGACGAAGGGGAGGGGCTCAGCGGGACCGGAGGCGACGACGGTGGTGCTGCGACGATTGCTGGTACTGCGACGCTGGCAGACGACGGTGGTGCTGCGACGTCGGCGGGGCTGGGCAGACGACCGGGGCTGGGCGAGGCGACGGTCTGCTGCGACGATCGGCGGCGGCGGTGGCGGTGGCGAGGCTTTGCTTCTCCTCTGCTTCTTCCCTTCCTCCTCTCTTCTCTCCCTCTTTCTCCTCTGTTTCCTCTCTTCTCTCCCTCTTTCTCCATTTCGAGCCGTTTCGAGCCTCTAAAAGTCGAGCTACGAGGCATTTTCCTAAGACAAAATATTATTTTTTACTCATAATCATTATACTTTTTCTCTCATAAAAGTTAAAAAAGTCCCAAAACAAAAACCAACGAGGCTAAAAAAGTCCCAAC